GAGTAGAGGGGGCGCAGTAGACAGAGAGAGAAAGAGAGAGAGAGAGAGAGAGAGAGAGAGAGAGAGAGAGAGAGCGCAAGCATTATCAGAATGGGAGAGTGTTTTACCACTGTTGACTGTCGGCAGTGTCACTGCTCCTTTGAGCTTTTGGCACCTCCACTCGTCCGCTCCACACACGCGGTGGCAACACGCTGACTGAACCTCCTCCACTTCAGCTCAAACTCCACTTCAGTGGAATACTTCAACAGGACGCCTGCTTATCTGCCTTTTCTCTGGTGGCTTAAAGAGCTTTTCAAAAAGTTCAATTGTTTTTTCCCCCATCTCTCATGGACCAGTTTTAACTCCTACATCTGCAGTTCAGATGTGTGGAACGTGCTTAAAATCCTACAGGACGTACAAGTTGCGGGATGTGCACGACTTTAAGGATGCCTGAAGGAGAGGTGAAACAGAATTGATGCTTTTGTTCAATATTTGGAAATACAGTGGTATAAAATGCAAGATTAAATACAACATCATCGTGGTAATCGCGGGTTTAGCGCAAGCATTATCAGAATGGGAGAGTGTTTTACCACTGTTGACTGTCGGCAGTGTCACTGCTCCTTTGAGCTTTTGGCACCTCCACTCGTCCGCTCCACACACGCAGTGGCAACACGCTGACTGAACCTCCTCCACTTCAGCTCAAACTCCACTTCAGTGGAATACTTCAACAGGACGCCTGCTTATCTGCCTTTTCTCTGGTGGCTTAAAGAGCTTTTCAAAAAAGTTCAATTGTTTTTTCCCCCATCTCTCATGGACCAGTTTTAACTCCTACATCTGCAGTTCAGATGTGTGGAACGTGCTTAAAATCCTACAGGACGTACAAGTTGCGGGATGTGCACGACTTTAAGGATGCCTGAAGGAGAGGTGAAACAGAATTGATGCTTTTGTTCAATATTTGGAAATACAGTGGTATAAAATGCAAGATTAAATACAACATCGTCGTGGTAATCGCGGGTTTAGACATTTCCAGCCACTAGCTATGTCTCTTTGCTGCTGCTTGTTTCTGATATTCAGTTTGAAAAATTGCAAGCCTTGATCTCTGAATACTGAAACATGGAAATTTTGATGAGCAGCACTCTACCAACCAATGTGACCAGCAGTCTACCGACCAATGCAACTCCGACAGGGAGAGAAGAACATGAGTTTAAGTCTTTGGCGCTGTTCATCATGGTGATCATCATCACCATTATCGTCGTGGGTAACCTTCTGGTCATCATCGCTATCGCACGCACCTCCCAGCTGCAGACCACGACGAATATCTTCATCATGTCATTGGCATGTGCTGACCTCATAATGGGGGTGCTAGTGGTGCCACTGGGTGCCACAATTGTCGTAACGGGGAAATGGCAACTCACCAAGACTTTGTGCGAGTTATGGACATCGGTTGATGTGTTATGCGTCACTGCCAGTATAGAGACCCTTTGCATCATCGCAGTGGATCGGTACATCGCAATCACGCAGCCTCTGCGGCATAAAGTGCTCCTGAATAAGTGTAGGGCTCGAATTATCGTTTGTGTCGTGTGGCTGGTCTCATCTCTAATCTCCTTCGTCCCCATTATGAATCAGTATTGGCGTGTGGAGAATGACGATGAATTCTTAAGAGAATGTAACAAGGACCCCAAGTGCTGTGATTTTATAGCAAATGTGCACTTTGTTATAATTTCATCAGTGGTTTCATTCTACATCCCACTACTCATCATGATTTTCGTCTATGCACGCGTCTTTCTCATTGCCACACGACAGGTACAGCTAATCGACAAAAACCGTTTGAGGTTCCAAAATGAGTGCATAGGAAATCAGGTACAGCCGACACACCACGGCAACAACAACTTACCTTCGACGTGCAATAATGTCGGAGGAACGACGGCAAGGCGGAAAAGTTCCCGAAGGCGATCGTCGAGAATAACCGTCGTCAAGGAGCACAAGGCCCTCAAGACACTGGGCATCATCATGGGCGTCTTCACACTCTGCTGGTTGCCTTTCTTTGTGGCGAACATCATCAATGTCTTCAATCGACACGTGCTGAGCATGGAGATTTTTCGTTTATTAAACTGGTTAGGCTACATCAACTCCGGCCTCAACCCCATCATCTACTGTCGAAGTCCAGAGTTTCGTGTGGCCTTCAAGAACCTTCTTGGCTGTCCCTGGTTGCCCTCTCTAAAAATGAACTTCCTTTTCAAGGGGCTTCGGACTCGATGCCCCTGCTTCCTGGGGTCTGCGGACCAAGGAATGCCTGGATCGTTCCAGAAGTCCCCCACATTGCCAGAGACATTGCCTGAAGAAGGGAGCAGCCAGAGCAGCTACAGGAACGAGGAGGCATCGCCGGGACCGCCACACTCCAATGGCAGCACCTTCTTCAGTGAATTCTCCGAAGCAGAGTTGTGAGTTTCCATCTCTTCTTACTTAAGTGCTTTCAGTTTACTGTCTGTAGAGTTTTACACTTTACCGTGATAAGATTTATTTTAGTACTCACAATGTGTCTGATAATTTTTTCTTCAAAAGTGCAAAATTGTTTGTACTTCTTGATTATGCATGTAAGTATTAGGTCTGTATTGACAAACAATGAATCAGTGCTGTGTCAGTAAGGTCTATTTGCTCTATATCACATGTCAGGTGAACTTCAAACCTGCTGTAATCATATGACCCAAAGTTGTGAATGCGCTTGTGGAGACTTTTCTCAGGGGAGATGAAGACCTGTGAGAAGTGCGTCAAGGTTGAGCTGGGCAGTGTTGAAGTGGTCTCGGATTACAGAGCGATTGGACGTGTACTACATTTCACACAAAAATTAATGACTTATGGTAGTGCTCCTGGTGGAATGTAAAACAGCCAGGTGAAGTTTGTGGGGGGGGGGGGGGGGGGGTTAAAAAAAAGAGCATAATGTCTTCTTTCTCTATTACAACTACTAAAACTACCAAAGCTTGGTAAAATTTTGCACTTTTGTAGTAAATTACAGATTTACATTAAACCAATTCAATTTTTACGAGAATTATTGCTAAGTCTTTATGTATAATTTCAAATTATAATATTAGAGTCTTAATTGATTGGTTGTAATTTTGTATTTGATATCACAAATATAAAGCAAATTTTTCTCTGAGGACATGGAGTTCGAGCTGCTGAACCCACGGCAGACTTGAAATGTTGTGGTGGAAACCGAAAGGCAGAAGCAGAGAGAAAGGAACAACTTAGAATCAAGTCATTCTGAGCGACTTCAATCTCCAAATGCTTGAAGCAGTGAGACAAAAAAAGAGCATAATGTCTTCTTTCTCTATTACAACTACTAAAACTACCAAAGCTTGGTAAAATTTAGCACTTTTGTAGTAAATTACAGATTTACATTAAACCAATTCAATTTTTACGAGAATTATTGCTAAGTCTTAGATACTATAATATTAGAGTCTTAATTGATTGGTTGTAATTTTGTATTTGATATCACAAATATAAAGCAAATTTTTCTCTTGAGGACATGAAGTTCGAGCTGCTGAACCCACGCCAGACTTGAAATGTTGTGGTGGAAACCGAAAGGCAGAAGCAGAGAGAAAGGAACAACTTAGAATCAAGTCATTCTGAGCGACTTCAATCTCCAAATGCTTGAAGCAGTGAGTTCACTGGTGTCAGGTAGCCCACTTCAACAAACAAATCACATTATTCAGCGTATAGCTCACCAACTTACAAGTACATGGAGTAAAATTTGATCAGCCCTGTGATGTCTGAAGCCCTTTTACGTAAACTGTGTACTTTGGTTTCCGTACACCGTGACCAGGTCTCCAGTGAGTGTCATTAAACACAGGGCGAGCTGAACATTATGTCTAGCACATTGTAATAAGACAAAATGAGCATTTTGATTATTTTTGGTGCAGTGTATTATGAAAGTTGCCCTTGTAGACATACAGTAATTCAAATAATGACAGATGGGAGATAGTGGCAGTGCGTTTTGTTTAACAGGAAGTCAACATTTTGCCGCTCTGTGCTGCTGATGGGTACATTTTGTGTTGCTGGCAGAAACACATAAATTAAGCCACAATGATTGCTTTGTGTTTCACAGCGCACTGAGAAAGGGTTGAAATGCTGTGAAAGTGTATTTATTAACCCTCCATGAGAAAGAGCACTTGTTGCAATTGTTTTTTTGCGAACAAACATGTATTTTTCAAGCAATATGAATTTTGGCAGCGTGATGTAACTGCTGTAGAAGCTAAATATGGATTGATTGTTGCCTGTAAATTTGTTGCTACGACTAAATTAACTTGTATGGGTAAGAATGAGGTGGTTTTTGTAGTGTTTTGGCAAGTTTTAGGGCCCCTCTGTTGCTTCTCTGACACCCCCAGGAGCTGATAAACTTTATCACTGAAACGCAACACTTCCGCTTTTGAGGAGAAGCTGTTTATGACCTAAACTGAGCAAGCGCAGTCAATGCTCAACGCGAGGGCAAGATAGTAAGCAAACACTTTGACACGAAACCTCAATTTCTGCTTGGAAATGAAAGATACATTTTTTGTTTCGTGTCAGGATTTCGAAGACTTAATGAAAAAAAAAATAAGTTCAACTAACAAAAGTTTACAGAGCACGACAAAATAAATAAATAAAAATGTAAAAATAAATAAATAAATAAAAGATGAGGGAGCCACTGGAACCCAAATTGAAAGGCTTTAATTTATTTATTTATTTAGCTGACAAATTACATGATCACTGTTTATTTAATTTATTATGTAATATTTACAATGATTTTATTTACTATCTGTATATATTTATTATAAAATAGAATTAATTTACAAAACGATTTTTTAATAAATTACTTTTTTGTCAGTAAATAAAGTCTCAAATATAAATAAATAAATAAATAAATAAAGAGACACGTTTCAGTGAGGGAGTCAGCCGTAAACGATTCACTGATTCAATTATGTTTCATAAATCATTGCTGCGTCCGAAAGCTCAAAAATGCTGCCTTCAGAGGACGCACTCCAAGGTAGGAGGCATCAAGGCATGTCCGAATCCAAAGTTAGCTTCACTTCCTGTCTCATGAGATACCTTCATCTGATTGATTTTTGAAGGCAGCATAGATGTATCCTTCGCTTCCTTTGATATCCCACAATCCTGTGCGTTCCATTACGTGACGGTTGAACTAAAACATAAAGATAAAGGCATCTGGATATTTTTGTTTGGTGGTCAGTTTGTGTGTAAATGTATATTCCTGACTAACTTTTTGCACTTTTGATGTTAGTTCTAGTGAGAAATCAATATTATAGTAATTAAATATTCGTTTAGTTTTCACCAAAACTCGTTCTATTTTGTTGTAGATCATTAAACCGTTACGCTGCCTCAGAAGCCTGTCCGAAATCAGTTTCACGAGGTACCTTCGTGCAAAAACACTGCCTGCAAAGTCATTGCCTGATAGGGCAGCGAGGCAGCTGACTAGACTTTCGGAAGCAGCCCATGACTGACTCATTTAAAAGAACCAGTTCATAAGAATCATTTCCTTGTGAATCAAACTTCACGGCTTGTGCCACGTGCAGCAAACACTGGCGTAATCTTTGATGAAACCTTTCATAAAAGGCACTCAAAAGTTTTCCAGACTGTCACCAATGGTGACTGCATATTAAATTATCATAGCAAATTTGCATTTTTGTCGTATTTTCAAACTATTGTCAAATAACCATGCTGTTTAATTTGGAATGTGTTTGTTGTTTTTTCATCAAGTGTTGGTTTGTGCTTGATCTGGGCATATCATTTGCAAGTATTAAAGGTCAGTAAACACAGCCGTAAGTGCAGAAATATACTCCTCCAACACATTTGCATACTAAAGTCAAAGTCTATTTTGAATGGAGCACGTCCAGTTGTGCTGATGATTGGCCAAAAGAAATAAATTGTGTTCACCTATCCATGCAAACTTCATGCTCATGAGATACCTTCATCTGATTGATTTTTGAAGGCAGCATAGATGTATCCTTCGCTTCCTTTGATATCCCACAATCCTGTGCGTTCCATTACGTGACGGTTGAACTAAAACATAAAGATAAAGGCATCTGGATATTTTTGTTTGGTGGTCAGTTTGTGTGTAAATGTATATTCCTGACTAACTTTTTGCACTTTTGATGTTAGTTCTAGTGAGAAATCAATATTATAGTAATTAAATATTCGTTTAGTTTTCACCAAAACTCGTTCTATTTTGTTGTAGATCATTAAACCGTTACGCTGCCTCAGAAGCCTGTCCGAAATCAGTTTCACGAGGTACCTTCGTGCAAAAACACTGCCTGCAAAGTCATTGCCTGATAGGGCAGCGAGGCAGATTTTATTTACTATCTGTATATATTTATTATAAAATAGAATTAATAAAAACTAAAACATAAAGATAAAGGCATCTGGATATTTTTGTTTGGTGGTCAGTTTGTGTGTAAATGTATATTCCTGACTAACTTTTTGCACTTTTGATGTTAGTTCTAGTGAGAAATCAATATTATAGTAATTAAATATTCGTTTAGTTTTCACCAAAACTCGTTCTATTTTGTTGTAGATCATTAAACCGTTACGCTGCCTCAGAAGCCTGTCCGAAATCAGTTTCACGAGGTACCTTCGTGCAAAAACACTGCCTGCAAAGTCATTGCCTGATAGGGCAGCGAGGCAGCTGACTAGACTTTCGGAAGCAGCCCATGACTGACTCATTTAAAAGAACCAGTTCATAAGAATCATTTCCTTGTGAATCAAACTTCACGGCTTGTGCCACGTGCAGCAAACACTGGCGTAATCTTTGATGAAACCTTTCATAAAAGGCACTCAAAAGTTTTCCAGACTGTCACCAATGGTGACTGCATATTAAATTATCATAGCAAATTTGCATTTTTGTCGTATTTTCAAACTATTGTCAAATAACCATGCTGTTTAATTTGGAATGTGTTTGTTGTTTTTTCATCAAGTGTTGGTTTGTGCTTGATCTGGGCATATCATTTGCAAGTATTAAAGGTCAGTAAACACAGCCGTAAGTGCAGAAATATACTCCTCCAACACATTTGCATACTAAAGTCAAAGTCTATTTTGAATGGAGCACGTCCAGTTGTGCTGATGATTGGCCAAAAGAAATAAATTGTGTTCACCTATCCATGCAAACTTCATGTTAGATGGACACTTCAGAAGTAAAGTTTTGTTGGGAAAAGTTAATGTAGACGGAGACTAGAACATTATTTACATTGTGGAGTAATATTTCTCAACGGGGGCATTCGGAGAGCAACTGGGGGCACTGGATGCATCAAAGCAAACTCTCCAAATCTATTTGTCCAGCTGTCGGTTGTGAAAGTGCGTGGACTGCGTCAGAAATATAACGCGGCTTCACTGTGGGCAACTTGGCGCGTCCAGTGACAGAATTGCTGATTATAATGGGATCTACTGTACAGTA